GTTCAGTTCACTACAATTGATTAAGAGGGATGGTAAAGTGTTGTTGTTGTATTTCTATTGAGTATTTTTGTATCTTGTGAGTCTTGCGTTTTTCAAAACAATATCGAAAATCAAAACAAAACAAAAAATATGGTAAGTTTTTATGATCTGATTTAAACACGTTTTACATTCGTTTTCTCTTCATCATTGTAGTAATTGTTGTTGTGTATTTCCTTTCGTAAGTTTAAGTATAAAAAAATAAAGTAATAAAGTTTAATAAGGCATGAAGGACCATATGATACCCTACATGAGTATATTTATTGAAATTTTTGCGGAAAGAATAAGGATGGGGTACAATTATGTGTTTATGAAATGTATATTGACGTATTAGGAGTTTCCAATATGAGTGGATCTCTCCTCTCAGAATTTGGAAGCCCAGATATAGGGGCTATTTGAAATGGTGCAACAAAAATCAATGGTTATACATGTTTGTCAAATTTCATTTAACTAATTTTAAAATTGCAAGCTGCAAATGGATTAACTTGATTAAATTGGCTAAAAAATTTTTACTTAGGGTATATCTCAGACCATTATTTTTGGATCTTACAAACTCCAGCATAAACAGTAATCTGCATTTTTTTAACGTTGTAGGGTACAAAACATTGTTAGGTTTTTACCAAATACATTTGCGTGTTAGATTGACGTTTGTTGTCATGTTTAATAGATGACTGACAACATTCTAGACACGTTCTTACAAAAAACAGACAACTACAACAACAACATATATATACATTTATATAATAATTGTTTGTTTATATGAAGATACACGGACACACAAACATAAAAACATTATAATGGATATAAAATTATATAAAATGAAGGCAAGAGGACAAATATGGTTTGGATAACTTTAGCAGGAAAAATTGGTGTTTGGAAAAAGTTAATTCTTTTAGAAAATAAATTAAATGGTAAAAATAGAAAACTTGATTCTCCAAGTATTACTTAGATACTTATTAAAATCTTTGAAATTTAAAATACAGATACATTTTGCTCTCTGAAAAGACTACAAGTTGTAAACCGAAATTGGCAGTGTTCAACACATAACGTTGTTCATGATTGCGATTAGGAATTCTAATTTTTCTCGCAACCAATATAGTTGATTTTCTACAAAATATATGCAGATATAATTACTTCTATTTCCTTGTTATATTTATAAATATATTATTTCCTGACCTGCCTCCTAAAATGGACCATTCAGGCAAATTGGCTTTATTACTGACAACACAAGGATTTCATGGATTTCTTGTCTTTACTCCATTACCACACTCACTCTTATAAATTGTAAAATAAGGTTGACTGACGTCACAATGGTAAATAGAATAGGATTATTATATAATAAAATATTTGTATATACCTATACAACTAGAAATATAAGTATGTATGTATATGTGTATACTTTTTACCTAACAACAACTAGAACTTTCTGTTGGGTTTGTTGTTGTTTGTGGCAACATACGATGGATTTTGTTTGGTTGGTGGTTTTTTCTTTGTTGATGCTGTTGGCATGAGTTATTGTAACAGTTTCAACTTATAAATAAATAATTACTGAATTCCAAATGAACTTGCTTCTCTTCAATTTGTTTCCTTCTTTTTTCTAGTTAGTTTCTTTGCTGCCATTTATGTGTTCAAAAAAAAACTGAAATTGAAAATAAGAGAAAAAAACACGTAGGAAAAATATACATATACAAAATATAAAATTTTACTATGATTGCCTATACACACACATACATACATATACATTTTTAACGCTGTGTTTAAATTTCTATAGAGATACATATTTACCTCATAATATTTTGTACATTATATACTGTACTCTGTTCTTGAATCTGTTCTAAATAAAGATTTTTATTTTTTTCATAAACTCTAGTTAATTCAAACCTTTTGTGTAGCTTTAAAAAGCAGATCTGAAATTGCAGAAGCAAGTTTCTTTAAATTTAGTAAATATGAAGAAACCTATCTGAAGACTATTAAAAAAGATTTCCATTTGTAAGTTCTCTGAACCAAAAGCTAATAATATTTGAAAGTCTAGTCTAGTTTATAGACTACATTCTAGTCTATAGTCTAGTGTGTAGTCTAGTCTATAGTCTAGTCTATAGTCTAGTCTATAGTCTAGTCTATAGTCTAGTCTATAGTCTAGTCTATAGTCTAGTCTATAGTCTAGTCTATAGTCTAGTCTATAGTCTAGTCTATAGTCTAGTAGTCTATAGTCTAGTCTATAGTCTAGTCTATAGTCTAGTCTATAGTCTAGTCTATAGTCTAGTCTATAGTCTAGTCTATAGTCTAGTCTATAGTCTAGTCTATAGTCTAGTCTATAGTCTAGTCTATAGTCTAGTCTATAGTCTAGTCTATAGTCTAGTCTATAGTCTAGTCTATAGTCTAGTCTATAGTCTAGTCTATAGTCTAGTCTAGTCTAGTCTATAGTCTAGTCTATAGTCTAGTCTATAGTCTAGTCTATAGTCTAGTCTATAGTCTAGTCTATAGTCTAGTCTATAGTCTAGTCTATAGTCTAGTCTATAGTCTAGTCTATAGTCTAGTCTATAGTCTAGTCTATAGTCTAGTCTATAGTCTAGTCTATAGTCTAGTCTATAGTCTCTAGTCTATAGTCTAGTCTATAGTCTAGTCTATAGTCTAGTCTATAGTCTAGTCTATAGTCTAGATAGTCTAGTCTATAGTCTAGTCTATAGTCTAGTCTATAGTCTAGTCTATAGTCTAGTCTATAGTTTATAGACTACATTCTAGTCTATAGTCTAGTGTGTAGTCTAGGCTATAGTAGTCTATAGTCTAGTCTATAGACTAGTCTATAGTCTAGTCTATAGTCTAGTCTATAGTCTAGTCTATAGTCTAGTCTATAGTCTAGTCTATAGTCTAGTCTATAGTCTAGTCTATAGTCTAGTCTATAGTCTAGTCTATAGTCTAGTCTATAGTCTAGTCTATAGTCTAGTCTATAGTCTAGTCTATAGTCTAGTCTATAGTCTAGTCTATAGTCTAGTCTATAGTCCTTCTCCATATTTTATCACAGTAGAAAGCTATCAGTATGAAAATTGCTTTTATTAAGCTTAATTTGTTTCAAGTATGCATATTTACTCTTTTAAGTAATATTTCACTCATATTCTTCTTAAATAGCAAATATACATATAAATATACATATAGTCCAATTATAACTTTAATAACCTTCAGGCAGCTTAAACACAACCATTGTTAACAATTTTTTTAAGTCTACAATGATGTACACATATGTTTACATATTTAACTTTTCAACACAATTGTCTCGTTATAAAGTCTAGACTGCTTTATTTACACCCTTACTTGTATTCCTGTTCCCTTTTTCTGCCAGTGTATTTGGGTTAAATATTGCAAAAACAAACAAAAAATCAGGAATGCCTGTAAACAACAAGAAGGGTTTACTTGCACTTTATGTTGTATACAGTATTTTTTATAATATTAAAAAGTGTCTTTCAAATGTCTAGTGATGTGGAAAATATTTCATTAAAATACATAATTGCGAATGAAGTTATTGAGCAGGGAACTAGTTATGTAAATAGCAATCGGAGGTCAAGAAACAGTTCTCTTTTAGTATCTTACAGAAAGTAGAAATTGCACTTTAAAGTTTTCTTTTCAAACTTATTCAAAGCAGCAGATGAAAAATATTTTAAAGAGAGTAAAATTAAATCGGCGAAGTAGTGCTTCCGACTTTTGTTGTTTCTTTTTGAGTATTCGTGGTTGTGCTTGTATAATAAGCCGATTAAAATTCGTGCTCTCTGCAATCTTGAACTAGACCATGTGAAGATTAAAGCAGCATCACCAAGTTTAATGCATGAACTTCATCTTGTTGTGTATATATTTGTTGAGTGACTCCTTCATTTAATTTAAATTGTTTTTTACTACTAATTAAATATTCTTCAGCCAAAAGTAAAAATCCAACATGTCCCATCATGATTACTCATTATCCTTGTATTCAATTTTTAATCGTGTTTGTACAACACAAATATTTAATTTGTTGTTTTTGTCTTGATTGTCTGTCCTTCTATAAGTGTCTGGATGTTAGTTTGTTTATATGTGTCAGTATCAGTTAGTGTATGTGGAAATGTTGTATACCAAATCTTCCTTTGGCTCTTAAACATATATGACAGACACTATTGTTGTTGTGTAAGTAATACTGACACGCTTGCTCGCGTCCATTGGGGTAAATAACAAATTTTCCGGCAACGTGTATGGCATTGCAACAAGACAAGCCGGGCAGATGGAATGAAATGAAAGCTAACAGCAAAGAAACAACATTTCATAATATAACAAGGCAAGTGTTCATAAGCTAGACACATAACCCAGCAGTTATAGTAATGTCCTTTAGATATTACTATTCCCAAGTCTTGTTTGACTCGTATACAGGAAGTTTAACACTTTAGTGTGCCTTATTCATCTATAGAGAAGGTAATTATAAGTACTAAATGAAAGCGCTAGTTTATGACATTCACTCCGTACTACAGGGTATAAATGTACTGCATGAAAAAGTGCAAATTTTTATGAAGTGTAGAAATATTCTAAGACTCAGGTTTAGTTTCAGTTTTCACTAAAACAAAAACCAACAGAAAATTAATGATTCTAGAATGAGTAGAAAAGGTCAAATAAAAGAAGTATAAAGTCTAAGAATGAACTGTGAGCAGTACACAACGTCTACTTATAAGGAAACCGGAAACGGAAGTAGCCGCATGTTGCTCTTGTTAATAATGTCAGTTGGTAAATGATAGTTTTGTTTAGAGCAAAAAATGAAAGGAAAAGTTATAAAAAAACAACAAAATTAGCAAGGATCAAACTTAGATAACACTAAATAGCACATAAAAATAAATAAAAAATAAAATTAATATATTAATTAAAAAAAACAACAGATTTTTTTAAGTTAACTAAATAAAACCTTAAAATTTATCATTGAATTAAAATGTCTATTTGCTTTTGTTTATTTGCAGTTAATACTCTTCATTGATAATGCCTCTGTGGCTAAAAAATTAAATGCCAGCCAAGCCTTTGATAATACCTGGAGTACAGCCACCGATTTGGAAAACGAACTAGAAGTAAGTTGAACTCTTTCACTCTAAATATTAATATAAAAATTCGTCTTCTAGTGGTTATTTCATGAATTTATTGATTAATTTAATCTAGTGTATTTCATCACAGCAAAAGCGTTCAGCTAAAAGTGTACCCTCATCCAGCAGTAGCAGCAGTAGTAGTAGTAGTTCTAGCAATAGCAATTCTGGTTCGGGCGGTTGGACCTCCTGGTCAGAATGGTCAACGTGTTCGCGCACCTGTGATGGTGGTGTTATGCAACAAATACGTCGCTGTCAAAATGCCAATGGCTGTAAAGGTGACAGTGTACGCTATCGTATTTGTAATATGCAACCATGTCCGGAAAAATTGGATTTTCGAGCCCAACAATGTTCTGCCAACAACGATGTGCCATATGATGGAACTTTGTATAAATGGACACCGCACTATGATTACGTAGAGCCCTGTGCACTAACTTGCAGGTAAAAAACAAGGAGAAAAATGTGAAAAATTCATATGAATTTTAAGTTTTGTTCTTTTTTTTTTTTTTTGTAATATTTGATCCTGACAAATAAAACTCATATGTCATGTGGCAGCCACCTATAGTGGGGGGTGCAAGCAGCTAAAAAGGTTTTTCTCTAGAGTTGTAAAATAAATATTTAGAGGTGTGCAATTTTTTAAATTTTATTTTCATTATTCCTATGGAATGCTGCTGACATTTGACTGTTTGTTATTTGTTGTGCTGCCTTAAACGGGACATACCATGGCATTGGCCCTTTTTTGCTGAAAAACAACAATAAATAAACATAAATTATGTTGTGGTTTAAATGCTACATACATACATATTTCAGCACATATTTTCGGTGCTATGTTTATTAACTGCGGCTGCACCTTTAACCCTATAACATTTGAAACTCTGCCAACGTTTTTATCACTAAAGAAATAAATTTTATTTTAAATAAAAATATCAGAAAAAAAATTGTTTTATAAATCATTATATGTATGTATGTGTTAGAGAAAATTTTCTATAAATTTGTATTCAATCTGATTTTTCAGTTCATTTGTGGTAAATTATTTCATATTTGTGGTTAAATACTTTCATATGAAATGTAGCAAAATAAATACAAATAATTTGCAATAAATAACAATATTTCTATAAAAATACAAATATGTATTTTTTTGTTTGAAAATAAATTTAACAAATAAATTATTTGTAATTTCTATTTTTCTAGCAAAATTGTAAATAAATTGTATAGTTTATTTATGTTTATATTTACATATATATTTATTTGTATCTATTTATATTTGTTTATATAAAGTAATTAAAGATTTAAATAGTTAATATATAAATTAAAATGAATCAAATAAATGGTAAACTACAGCAGGTGAAGTTAAAATGACTTCTGATTTGTAACATCTCAAAGTTAAATGACAAAAAAAATAACTTTTAAATTTTCAAATCGTTTTTTTTTTTTGGGAGTTGAAGGAGGGTTGATAGCCAATAAGAAACTTTCTTTATTTTTAAGTATTTTCAATAAAAATTTCTTTATAATTTTTATATTCATTCAAGACTGAAGAATGTTTTTTATTAAAAATTTTAGATATTTTTACACAAATAGTCTCAAATTCCAAACGAATGATATAAAATATGTCGTTGTTGTTTTTTTAATTTTTTTAATATTTAATTTTATGCAAATAATTGTTTTGTATAAATAACAATATTATAGTCAATTAAATGCTGAAACTATAAATATTATTTTTCTATTTATTTGTTTTAATATCATATTTGCACTAACTCACAATAAGCTTAATATTTAAAAATAATATAATTTATTTGAATTACAAAAATCTGTTGGAAATAAAATTTAACATACTTTTTTTTTAATTTACTGCAAATAAAAATTACATGTAAATTTTTAATACGAAAAAGACATAAGTTAAATAAATATAACTATAACACTAAGCAAATATTAAAAAAAATAAACTACAGAAACTGTAAATCAGAGTCCACCAACAAGATAAATTCATAAAAGTAGTTTATAATAGTTAAACATATGATTATAATTGCTTTTCAATACTTTAAAGTCCCCTAGAGTGTATTATTGTTGTAATAATTATCTATGTAAAACCACGTGACGTATGAGTATTATTTAATTATAAGAAAACAAGTATACGCTACCTATTACCAAAGAAATTAACCCCAATACGAATTTACATAATTTATCTTTTCCAGAGGTCGTCCTGCCCATTTAACCGATGATATTTCGCCTGAAACCACCGGAGACGATTCTGAGCACTATGATGAATTAAGCGTAGTTGTACAATTAAGTCCCAGAGTTTTAGATGGTACTCGCTGTCGTTCCGGTAGTTTGGACATGTGTATACAAGGAAAATGTCAAGTAAGTTTGTTGAGATTTTTCTTATCTCATGCTTAAAAGCCTATATTTGTTACAATAAAAAATTGTTTTATTTGCTTAGATTTTTGCTAAAAATAATCTTTGAAAACAAAAACATATTTATTTATTATTGTTCTAAAATTTCCAAAAAAACATAAAAACTTTTCTGTTGTTGCCTAATTTCTTAAAAGAAAAAGTATGTTTGTAAAAAAACATTGTTTTCATTGCAGTCAGCACATTTATTATTTATTTTATTTTTGTTAAGATTTTGTCTTTTGTATAAACTTTTTCTTATAACATTTAAGATTTAAACTCTCTGGGTGGTAGAATACAGTTGAGACGCCACTTAAAAATATTACAATAAAACACAACCATAATAAGAAATATATTCATTTATATCATTATTATGTTTATTGTTATAATTCGTTATAAAACCAATAGCAACATTGGCACCCTCCCCCATGTTTAGCTCTTTCCTTGTAGTCATAAACAAATCCTATATTTATTCATTTTCGGTTTTGTTTTCTTTCTTATAAAATTATTTTATATATGTATTTGTTTTATAATAACAAATCATTGGCTATGTTTCGGTACAGTATGAGTCCCAATTTGTTGTAATAAATGCCAATATGTCGTTTGCGGTTTGTAAATTTGTATATCTGTATTAGTAGACTTAAATGTTTAAGTGTTTTTATTTTGGTTTACAGTTACATTTGTAAGGATCATATTTCAAGTGGTTGCTGTTGTTATTATTGTTTTTATTTTTATTTTTAAAATCCTTGGTATTTACTTTTATGTAAGTTTGTATGTATATGTATATGCAGGAATTATATATTATTAGGCTGAAACAAAAGTGGGTGTTAGCATGTCAGTATGACTCTGACTATTAAACCGGCTTAGTAGTCAAAATGTTAAGGTAACTAAAATTTTTGAAATAAAAACAATTTCAAGTTCTTGCACACAAAAAACCAACCCACGAAAAACCATAGACTTTAAATAAATCACAAAAAATAAATCAATTCACAAACAGAGGTAAAGAAAATATGAATACACTGAAAATAATTAATAAAAGTTTTCAGTAACAAATATGTTAAAATGTTTCTTTGAGGATACTCAATCATAGTTCAGTTCTAGTTTAGCTCTAATTCAGTTCTAGTTAATTTCTAGTTTAGTTCTAGGTAACAGTTCTAGTTCAGTTCTAGTTCAGTTCTAGATCAGTTCTAGATCAGTTCTAGTTCAGTTCTAGTTCAGTTCTAGTTCAGTTCTCGTTCAGTTCTAGTTCAGTTCAGTTCTAGTTCAGTTCTAGTTCAGTTCTAGTTCAGTTCTAGTTCAGTTCTAGTTCAGTTCTAGTTCAGTTCTAGTTCAGTTCTAGTTCAGTTCTAGTTCAGTTCTAGTTCAGTTCTAGTTCAGTTCTAGTTCAGTTCTAGTTCAGTTCTAGTTCAGTTCTAGTTCAGTTCTAGTTCAGTTCTAGTTCAGTTCTAGTTCAGTTCTAGTTCAGTTCTAGTTCAGTTTCTAGTTCAGTTCTAGTTCAGTTCTAGTTCAGTTCTAGTTCAGTTCTAGTTCAGTTCTAGTTCAGTTCTAGTTCAGTTCTAGTTCAGTTCTAGTTCAGTTCTAGTTCAGTTCTAGTTCAGTTCTAGTTCAGTTCTAGTTCAGTTCTAGTTCAGTTCTAGTTCAGTTCTAGTTCAGTTCTAGTTCAGTTCTAGCTCAGTTCTAGTTCAGTTCTAGTTCAGTTCTAGTTCAGTTCTAGCTCAGTTCTAGTTCAGTAGTTCACTAGTTCAGTTCAGTAGTTCAGTTCTAGTTCAGTTCTAGTTCAGTTCTAGTTCAGTTCTAGTTCAGTTCTAGTTCAGTTCTAGTTCAGTTCTAGTTCAGTTCTAGTTCAGTTCTAGTTCAGTTCTAGTTCAGTTCTAGTTCAGTTCTAGTTCAGTTCTAGTTCAGTTCTAGTTCAGTTCTAGTTCAGTTCTAGTTCAGTTCTAGTTCAGTTCTAGTTCAGTTCTAGTTCAGTTCTAGTTCAGTTCTAGTTCAGTTCTAGTTCAGTTCTAGTTCAGTTCTAGTTCAGTTCTAGTTCAGTTCTAGTTCAGTTCTAGTTCAGTTCTAGTTCAGTTCTAGTTCAGTTCTAGTTCAGCTCTAGTTCAGTTCTAGTTCAGTTCTAGTTCAGTTCTAGTTCAGTTCTAGTTCAGTTCTAGTTCAGTTCTAGTTCAGTTCTAGTTCAGTTCTAGTTCAGTTCTAGTTCAGTTCTAGTTCAGTTCTAGTTCAGTTCTAGTTCAGTTCTAGTTCAGTTCTAGTTCAGTTCTAGTTCAGTTCTAGTTCAGTTCTAGTTCAGTTCTAGTTCAGTTCTAGTTCAGTTCTAGTTCAGTTCTAGTTCAGTTCTAGTTCAGTTCTAGTTCAGTTCTAGTTCAGTTCTAGTTCAGTTCTAGTTCAGTTCTAGTTCAGTTCTAGTTCAGTTCTAGTTCAGTTCTAGTTCAGTTCTAGTTCCGTTCTAGTTCAGTTCTAGTTCAGTTCTAGTTCAGTTCTAGTTCAGTTCTAGTTCAGTTCTAGTTCAGTTCTAGTTTCAGTTCTAGTTCAGTTCTAGTTCAGTTCTAGTTCAGTTCTAGTTCAGTTCTAGTTCAGTTCTAGTTCAGTTCTAGTTCAGTTCTAGTTCAGTTCTAGTTCAGTTCTAGTTCAGTTCTAGTTCAGTTCTAGTTCAGTCTAGTCAGTTCTAGTTAGTTCAGTTCTAGTTCAGCTCTAGTTCAGTTCTAGTTCAGTTGTAGTTAGGTCTAGTTTAGTTATATATAATCATAGAACCCAAATTTTAAAGTTATCAGCCGGAGGATATGCTTTTTTAATGACTACAAAAAAGTATAAAAAGCAAACTAGACTAATTTATTATGTTTCCTTATCTTGAAATCTAAATGACTTTGACATGTTTGTTTTCTAAAATTCTCCTCTATATACTATCATTGCTCCTCCACCGTTTAGGGCAATATTTTTAAAGTGTAGTATGCTTTTAGGCAGCTTTATCGTGTCGTTAATGCTGTGATTATCATTTTTGATTTATTACACATAAGATGTCGCCGTTTGGTAAGAAATACTTTGAAGCGTTTTTTCGAGCATTTTTTATTTGTTTGTGACATTAACTGTAACAACAACAAAGTGCTGGTCCTGTCGTTTTTACAACTTTTTTTGTAACCACAATTGTATGACTATAAGAAGACATAAATACCTGTATTTTGATACTTGAAACTTATTTACATATTTATAATGCTTTTTGTTCTTGTTTATTTTTTGTTACAGAAAACATTTCTTACTGTCAGTCTATTTCTGTATTAGTTTACGTTGGAGTTGTATATATGCATATTTATTTAACGAACATTTATTTTATTTACAAATAACGTTTATATTTTTATTTGTTTGTTTGTTTTTAGCGCGTTGGTTGCGATTTAAAAATTGGTTCAACAAAAAAGGTCGACAGTTGTGGTGTTTGCGGTGGCGATGGCAGCTCCTGTTCACAAACACATTATCAATGGGAGATAGCACCAATGTCGCTGTGTTCGGTATCATGTGGTGGTGGTAAGTAGCTGTTATATTATTTAGATTTATCATTTTATTATTTTTTCTATTATTTATGGTACCAATGACAATCATAAGTATTTTATATGCTTCCTTCATCGATATGCTACAATTATGATGGGATTTTCCATTTTAAATGATAACATAACAAACAATTTAATACTTATACGATACACTTACAAATGTTTTTTTTATTTTGAAATGAATGACAATATTTCATGTCATCCTTTTGCTATAAAATTTCGTTGTCTGTTTAGTCTGCTGTTTAGTCACATATTTTTCAGAGAAATCAGAAATTTTACCCTGATTTTTTGTATCAATATAAAATGTAAATTATTAAGAAAATGTATTTCCTTCCTTTCAACACACATTCACCAGTTTGCCAGCAAAGGAAACACACTGCTTGTATTCACACTTAAATGTTTGCATTTCATATTATCTTTCTTGCCATATTTGATTTAAGCAATTGTGTGTCCTTTTCCTTCTCCCTGTAAAACATAATGTTTATGTATATGTAAATATCAATGAAGGAAGGCTGGTGGTTACTTGGTTGAAAGTATGTATAAATGATTGGTTGGGTTGCATGAGTGGTTTACTGCATGGATGATTCGTTAAGCAAATAGACACATATAAACTACTACAGAAGACCGGAAAATAAACAGACAAACTTAAGCAGACACCTAGTGAATCCATATTTACTTAAACGTGTACGTGTGAAAATAATTTTCTCAATGATTTAAACAGAGCATATGTTAAATATTAAAAGCAAGAAATAAATCACGAATATATTTTTATCTTACTTACAATCAATACTTTTCAACAAAATGTAAAGTTTGTATTTTACCTTATTTACAGAAAATGGAGAATTAACGTAAAATCATGTCATATTAATGAGAATAATCAAAAAATCTTTCCATGAAAAAAAAATTAGCGAAAAACTTTAATAAATAACAAATAAACCAGAACATCACTAAAAAAAGTTCCTTTAATAATTCAGCTCAAGTTCAATTCTAGTTCAGTTCTTGTTGAGTTCTAGTTCAGTTCTAGTTCAGTTCTAGTTCAGTTCTAGTTCAGTTCTAGTTCAGTTCTAGTTCAGTTCTAGTTCAGTTCTAGTTCAGTTCAGTTCTAGTTCAGTTCTAGTTCAGTTCTAGTTCAGTTCTAGTTCAGTTCTAGTTCAGTTCTAGTTCAGTTCTAGTTCAGTTCTAGTTCAGTTCTAGTTCAGTTCTAGTTCAGTTCTAGTTCAGTTCTAGTTTAGTTCTAGTTTAGTTCTAGTTCAGTTCTAGTTCTAGTTCAGTTCTAGTTCAGTTCTAGTTCAGTTCTAGTTCAGTTCTAGTTCAGTTCTAGTTCAGTTCTAGTTCAGTTCTAGTTCAGTTCTAGTTCAGTTCTAGTTCAGTTCTAGTTCAGTTCTAGTTCAGTTCTAGTTCAGTTCTAGTTCAGTTCTAGTTCAGTTCTAGTTCAGTTCTAGTTCAGTTCTAGTTCAGTTCTAGTTCAGTTCTAGTTCTAGTTCAGTTCTAGTTCCGTTCTAGTTCAGTTCTAGTTCAGTTCTAGTTCAGTTCTAGTTCAGTTCTAGTTCAGTTCTAATTCAGTTTTAATTCAGTTCTAGTTCAGTTCTTGTTTGGTTGTAGTTCAGTTCTAGTGGCGACTAGGCTATAATAAATTGATAACCATTTCAAAGTCAACAAAGGAAATCTAAAACTCATGATACCTTGCATAAAAAAATAATTCATTAATAAAACAATTTCAATATAGTTAAAATAACCTTCAAATAAAATCAATAATATATTTAAATGTCATCAATAAGAACAAACAGCAAGAACAAATTATACTCCTTTATACAATATTCATGGAATAAAGTATTAATCTAACAAGAATATAATAGAAAAGAATTAGTAAAATTATTTGTTTCTTGATATTTAAATGAAAATACAAACAATTTAAACTAATATAAACAATAAACTATTTCGTTTGTATTCTTAAAAAATGCAAGAAGCGTTTGTATGAAATATACGCAACTTAACACGCAACATACTTCAGTTGTACAGAAACAAAAGGAAGGAAAAAAATCGACTAAAATTGAAAAGTTTAATGTAATAAATTATAACAATTTATACTGTTACATCAATGATTGACAAAAAAATAAAGGCAGACACACAATACAAACTAACTGCTAAACTGACACACACACCCACTCCAGTATTGTACACATGCAAGGATGAGTGTATCCTTTTTTTTACAAATACTCAAATAAAAATGTCGTGTATACTTATTAATAATAAATTGTTTTAGCGTGACAATAAACGTCATCAACTTTTGTATGTTGGCAAGTATATAAATATTTATATGGTTTTTTATGTAAATTTTTATACACCATTTACATACAAGTGTCTTTAGACATATTTATAAGTTTTACAGAAACCATTAACTAAAAATATAAAAAGTTCTGAACAGAAAATGTAGGAAATTTTAAATAGAATTTTTAATTTAAAGACATGTGTTGACCTTGCCTATGGCTAATACTGTATTAATAATTTGTTAAAAATTAATTATAGTCCCTATATAAATTATTGTATCAAAACACAGTTCTAATCACTTTAATTTATTGGTGTCAATTATTTAGAGAACTTTTTTTTGACTTGTCAATGGATGGATGGACAGCTAATCAATTTTAATAATTTTATTCAATTTATTTGTAATTAGTAGATATTATTTTATGCTTATGACATTTAATTTAATAAAGCCCTAAAGGTAAATATTAATTGCTCATTGTATTAATAAAGTTATTACATAAAAAATTCCTATAATAAACCATCATTAACTTTATTAAGCTTCAATGAATGCTTGAGTTAATGTTAAGTAAAACAAGTGAACTTATTTTACTAGTTCCATCTAAATGATTATAAGTTTGTCAATACATCTGTAATGCCATTTATAAATTGTGGTTCCAATAGATGATTTAACATTGTCGGTGCATTTGTTTAGCCCACTTATCGAAAGCATCAGATGTATGTGTGTATAAATAAGTCGATTTAAACAATATGTTGAACTTTTAAACGTGTAAAGACAACTTCAAATTTGTGTATATTTACATGAATTTATAAATTCATGGATTTACTTACCAATAAAGAATGCAATGAACTCGATAAATAATAAAACGTTAGAAATATTTAAACACAATTTGCAAAAATTGTTCTTACTTAAAAAAAATCAGTAGACACACTTTGAAATAAAGCCTACCTACAAGTATCAATATATACCTAAGTATGGATGTACATCTATTTATACATATGTATAGGCATATACATATGCAGACATCTATGTTCACATGTGCAAACATAATACCAGGTTATAAAGAAATCGAGAGCTACTTGTTACAAGTAAAAAAAATAAATCCTTTATACTAAAGTCTGTTGAGAAAAATTCAGAGTAGCAAGTCTAAAAAACAGGTTTAAATACTGATACAAATAAAGAAATTCTGACACACATCCTCTCAGAGTAAATACACACCAACACATTTAAACACAAACAAACAAATTTCTAAAGCCCAGCAAACACATAAAGTTTGATCAAAGTTTAGGAATTAAGGACTTTTTCAACCAAGTTTGATTACAACTTGAGAATAATTTAAAATCAAAACATGTAAGAATTTATAGTCGGGCATGGCCGACCATGTGATACCCTACACCATATGAAATAAAAGAAACTTTCTAAATGAGGGGTTATATGGGGGCAGGGGGTTAATATGGTCCTATCCTTTTAAATTTTAATGATAATAATATTCTGGTCTATAAGTAAATTTTGACCATCAAGTCATTTTCTGAAAGGGACTTTGTATGGGGGATAGGGTTAAATAAGGGCCGATCATTACAAAAATCCACAGTATCATTAAGACTTGTATAAAACTAAGTTTTGCCGATTTTTGAAGTTATACAAGAACATTTAACATATTTATGAGATCAGAAGCTCTATTCAGGTGGTATGGTTGTATGGGGGCTACATAAGCTTCATCCTTGGGTCAAAAAGAGTATGTGCTAAATTTCATCAAATTATCTTGAAAATTCCCACCTGTAGAGTGCGCACAAGGGTTACTAGGACACACAGACGGATGGACGGACGGATAGACGGACGGACATATCTAAATCGACTTAGAAAGTGATTCTGAACCGATCGGTATACTTTAAGGCAGGACCAATATTTTTGGGTGTTACAAACATCAGCACAAACGCATAATACCCTTCCCGCTATAGCGGTGTAGGATACAAAAATTGCTCTAGGGTTTACCTTTTTGTTCATTAAACTTTTACTTAGGTTTGAGATAATTTCATATCATTTGAATTTTTTTAGAGACAAGATGCTGAAAATAGATATTCAAACATCTTTTTCTCTAACAAATTTTACAATGATTCAAAAACTTCTGTTCTCTGGGATATCCGTATTTCAAATGTAAAATATGTAAATGTATGTGTATTAAGTATCACTTACCTTCAAGTGTTATATCGTACATAAACATCGATTTGCCAAAGGCTGCATTAATAATGCAAGAACGTTAACATTAATGGTTAGAATTTGTACTAAAAGAGATTACTTACTGTTATCATACATATCACGCCTTTACTGCAATAGTGACTTAAAACAGAAATGTATATATGTATATTTAAAAAAAACTTTGAATCTTTTAAGTCATGTTTTGAAAAAAACTATTTTAATGGTATAACAGCTTAAAGTACACTAATCTAGTTGAAATAAGTTTAGGTCTCCATAAAGTTATTTACATTCTCCAATCGTTCACTTATCTGAACAGCTTAGGAATATTTTGATGTATTCAGTTTAAAAACCTTCATTTTTAAGATAAGACACTTTTTAGGTAATCCAAATGTTTATGTAAATATTCAAATATATTCTGTCTCGCAGTTGTAACATGTGTCTGTCTCATTTCGTATGTATTTATTTACATGTAACAAATTCAACTTGTTTAAAGTAAAAATTCTTTGACAAAATAATGATACAGCTAAGGATTTCAAATGTATGTGTATATTCGAAGTGTCTAGAACGCATATTTATACTGTCATGGCAGACAAAGGATTAAAACGAAATATTGTCAGCGACTGGAAATATAAAAAACTAAACAACTACAGAAAATGGTTACAAATCATAACAGTTTCAAATATTTAATTAAATAGATTTAAAATTTTTGCTTTATTTTAGTTTTAAATATTCTACTTCTATTCTATAATATTCTATGATATCTTCATTGTAAATAAAACATGAACATTTTTTACCAACTTTAAATTTTAATGAACTCTTTTCTTTGGTATTATCACTATGGCGACATTTTTATTATAACGAATTTGCATTTTAAAACAATTTCAAATTTTAACTCTTTTTATTTTAAATTTTGTTCTTCTATCGTCTCTTCATTGTTTTATTGACATGTTGAGTTTATTTTCTATGCCAACAACGAAAAACCTTTAATAATAAAAACCAAAATTTTATAAGTTCTAAAAAAAAAAGAAGAAAAGTTTCTAACCTCTTTTTGCCCTAAAGGCTTTCTAAGTAACAAAAATCCTAGAGAGAGAAGGAACATAAAAGAGCAAAATTTTCCAAACGAATATTGTTAGATGTTTATTAATGATAAATTTAATATTTCTTCACATTTATGAAATATTTGATGAAAAAAATGTGATCTCAAAAGATTCATTAAAAGCTTTTTCTAGCTTTCTTTTTAACCAGTGATAGGCAAAGAGCTCTTTTATAAGCTTCAATAAATTCACACCAACGTAAGCTCACACTTATACTTATATAATATTTTCCGTTTGCCAAGGCTAAAAAGTAACTACTTATGTATCTAGTTGTTTGTAAGTCATTACTAGACTCCTTCTAAGTAATGCTGGTGATATGTAGTGGTCATTGAAATGTAAGTTTTTGGGAAAGCACATGTTATTGCTATGTTTTTACTGAGAATATATAAATATTTTTATAGTTTTTTATCAAATATTTTATCAATGTGTACCTGGCTTTATACTTTATTGACTAAACTCGTTCCATAGATTATTACTTTCTGTTTTTAATTTATTTTTTAATAAAAGAACTTACAAACTTTTACTACAATTTGAATTATTTAATAAAATTTTTTGTGTATTTTTCTAATTTGGTAATTTATCTTAAGGATGTTAAAAAGTTTAACAGATATTTTGACGGTTTTACTGAAACATTTCATTAAGTCGTGTTAAAATTAAATTGGCAGTTAGGAGATGTTTTGTTTAAAATTCTTTAAGAAAATCTCAAATATGAATGAAACATCATCATAACATTTAAATAATATTTATTACTACTCAACAAACCTTCAAAACAATTTTTGACTAAATTCTTCAAAATCTCCATTAGCATTTCACTTATCTACGACCCTCCTGCAAAATACAACTTATGTAGTCTAAAAGTTTTACTTATACTTTTAAGAATGTTTTGTTAAATAAATTTGAATTACCCTCGAGGTTATTTAAACTAGTTACCCTCACTAAGTAGCTTTTATTATTAAATATAGTTATATACATAAATACAAAAGATTAAGATGGTAAAATTTAACATACATATTTACCTTTAACCAAAATAAGTTAATGCTGGATTTGTCTTTAACACAAAAGACTTCTGAACTAAGTAGTAGAAGACTTTAACATAAACCACTTAAGCCACTTTTTCTTTACAACACCTGCAGGGAACTGTGAAATGCTAAAAACATTTCAGATTTACTCTTTCTGTACTTTTGGTGTTAAATTGGGTTTTTTTCTTTTTATTGATTTTATTTGTCTTAAATTTGCATTTAAATCGTAGAAAAGAAGAAAAAGAAATATTGTTTATTTCATCTGTTTTCCACCGTATATAGCAGAAATATTTTACTAAGTGTTTGTGTTTTCTTTTACTATTCCCTTTTGCATTTTAAGGTTACAAGATGTCTCGTGTTGCATGTCGTAGTCGTGTCACTGGTGCAGAAGTAGATGATGCTCTCTGTAATGTAGCTAATCGTCCGGAGCCATCCGTAGAGTTGTGTAATACTCATACCTGTCCTCCTAGGTAAGTTGCTTAAACAAATACTTAAAACTTTTCAAAATCAGCTTGCACTTGCTGCTAAGAAAGCAGTGATAGGCTTTCATAACCTTTAGGAAACGAAATACATATATGAGAAAATCATAAGAAATAAGCAAACATGAAAGAATAATAGCTTTATGAGCTCTTTATGCCGATCTCTGCTTTAATGTCTTGCTATGAAGAGAGTTACATTTAAACGTTGAGAGACCTTAAGATATGTAACGTTTTATGCCTGCATGTGAAAGTATTAGTTAGTTTGTGTGGTTTTATTGCAAAATTATAAAAGAGAGTGGGAGTGTTAAGGAAAATGTAAGTGTTTTAAACATTTTAGATTTCCTTTGGTTTTCACTATTGTTAAGGTTGTTTTTTGTGTTGCCATGTTCCTGGTTGCAAAACCTCAAAATGTAATTTAATGTTTGGAAGCAGGTTTAACTATAATTAAAGTTTTGCAAATAACATGCAAAAACCAACTTTTAATGACAAACGAAAAAAATATTAAATATTCTAATTAAGGACATACACATTTTATGGATGATTTTAGACAAAAAAAATAAATTTAAAAATTTTTAATTTACCTTTTTTTAAAGAGAAAATTAGGTCAAATGTGATGAAAAAGGACACTACAAACTAATCTACAAAAATAATGAAAAAAGGAAAAATCTTTTAATGTTCAAAGAATGCTTTAAGCATATCTATTGACATCATATAGTAACAAATGCTTTCTTTCCTGTTAAAGTGGTGTCCTTAACCCATTTCCGCCTTCTGTGCCCATAAATCATAGTTGTTTATTAATAATACGTGCATCATATTCTAGAAGCCTCAGAGTTCCTTAAATCAAAGTTATAAATTAGCAAAGAAATTCGCGTTTCGATTCTTGTACTAATAGGCGTGGCACCTCCCATATGAACTAAATACAAAAAATTGTATATCTGGGAAACCGTTAGTTCTACAACTTTGGACATGCAACACTCAGATACATAAGACACATTTGGGTATAAAATGAGCGAATTGGCGGTAGTGGGCGGTCAATTCCCACATAAAGAAAGTATTAAATTAATATAACTGAGAAAATGAAACAGTTGTCAAATGTTGTCGAAGCCGCTTTAGTATCAGTTTTAATATTCACGATGCAAATGGAAGAATTAGCTAGAGGGGGCGTGGCACCCCCATATAAATTAAATACAAAAATTCGTATATCTGGAAAACTGTTAGAGTTAAAATCCTTAAAATTTACTTGAACAACTTTGACACCTGTGAGAGCATTTGTGTAATATATTGGCAGAAAAAAATAAGGGGCGTGATACCTCCCATATGAATCAAATACAAAAATTCGTTTATCTGGGAAACCATTAGAGCAGACATTCTGAACATTTGGAAAAATGGTGTTGCAACTCCCATATGCATTCAATTCTAAGGAACGCACTATCTAATTTGTTACGAAATTAAGATAATTTGCTTAGTTTAAACATTTTATAACTCTAACTTGTTCCTTAATTTTAATTAAATTCACCAACTCATATTCTAACATTTACCAACTAACAACTACTAAATTTATGTCTATACAAACGTTTGCTTTCAGATGGATAGCTGATGACTGGAGTCCATGCAGTCGTCTGTGTGGTCCTGGGGTACGTGAGCGTATGGTGGTGTGTGCCGAGGAAAATAACGGCATTAAAACCAGAGTAAGTTTTTTTAGTTTTAATAATTTTCTTACCCTCTCCACACTTTTAGTATTTTTAGTTTTATATTAAATATACTAAAGTATATAATTTTTTTCTGTCATTTTTCTACAAGAAAAAGAAAAGTACAAGCAAATGAAAAGTTAAAATTAGACATGGTTAAATATGTTGTTGTATAAATGTATGTTACCTCCCTTCAGCTTGAACAAAATTTCAGAGTGGAGCGGGTTATGAATGAATGAACTTACAAATGACGATGTTGAGTAGCAGCAATACGAATGCAGTAGTAGTTAGTAGTCTTGTTGCAGTTGTTAGTTTTTGTCAGAAGGTCGCTTAAGGGCATTTAACACTAACTGCTTTTGTGGATTTACTGCAGAATAAGTACTAGTATATATGGTACTTACATATATTAGGGAGATAACTTTTTTTAAATTGTTAAATATTAAGGGTTTTCTACATAAACATGATAAAAACTATTTTAGCTTTTTGTTGTCTAAAAGTTATTCGTTTCATTAATTTCTTTCTTACTCTTACAAGTCTGTTTGTGGTTATCACCCTAATGTATGCACATTCACATTTGTTCAAGTTGGTATTTATGTTTGAATATAAGTAGACTCTTTTTAATGTGTGTTTTTATGTAAGTGGCCTAGAAAAAGTACTTGTATGTGGGCAGTTTTGTAGTAGAGAATTTGTCTATAATAGTAGTAAAATATTTGAACGTCATATCGATAAAATTAATAGTCCTACATCAAGCTTTAAGTGTTTCGATCAACTCAGAATCACCTTCTGAATAGATTTTATATTGTCTGCGTTCCCAAGACAACGTAATTTAATTGGACCCAAACGCTTATTTCGGTCTCTAAATTGTTACCATTTAAAATCAGTTCATTATATCATATAAGCCCCATACTAATAACCTCCCGAAACTGATCTATAGAATAATATATGAAATACATATCGTTTAACGCAATCATATAGACCACTTTGGAATCAGTCCATATTTAGACATACAAAGTTTTCATATAAAGCCATCTTTCGAAAATCACTTTCAATATGAATTTCGGTATCGGTATTACAACTCAAATAACATGAAAACAACTTGCGATAAGGAATCGATATGTATGTATATTCAGAAATTGTTTAAAAGAAATTTTATAATGATCGGTCCATAAGGTTAAGTTAAACTTATAAATTCCTGATTTGTAAAACAATTGTGTAAGCTTATGAGAAACGACAATAGCTCCCATATAAAGCCAACTTTCGTTTATAAACTCTCATTTCTTCGCCTTACGAAATGTCCCTTATATAATGTTCGGCAATAGCTGCAGTACTGAGCCAGTTCATTTTAATATGCTGGTTGACTGCATGATATAGAAAATCATGACTATAATATTGTTGCAGTTGTGGTTGCTGATGATGATAACAAATAGAATAAAAAAAAACGTCTTGTAATTGCTACTGTTTAACAACTAGTACTTGTAACATACAACAACTTACTAATTTCAAAGCTAAAAGTACCTTTTTTCTGTTTGTTTTATGTTTTGCTTTTTTTTTCTTTCAATTCTTTTTCGTTGTTTTTTTCCCCTTTTTAACAAACGCCTACTTATATTTTTTGTTGTACTCTTGTCTTGTACTTATTGCAGGTTGCGGACATAATGTGCCCTTTACCAAAACCGCCAACACAAGAACAGTGTATTATGGAAGAGTGCCCAAAGTGGGAAGCTGAAGAGTGGACGGGTGTAAGTGTTTCATTTAAGTTTGTACACATTTTTTAAAGGGATATTTAAGGCCTTTTTTCATTATTAGTACTTGCTATGTTTCTTAAAGTTTATAAATAGGTACTTGTATGTTGAAGTTGCCTTTTTTTATAATGGTCAAACATTTTAGCTGGATTTTTATTTTTAGTTATTTTTGTAAAATTTCTTGCTTAAAAGTAAGTTGTAACTTTTTAACTACTTAAATTATTACACTTTGTTGGAAATTTGAGCAAAAAATATGCTGTAAGTATTCTTCTGGGTTTGTCTAAAGAATATGTCGAACTTATACATTCCTTGCAACTTTAGTTTTTGTTAGTTGCAGTTAATATTTATTTAATAGGTTAATTTTCGTATAAAAATCTCTTTTACTTTAAAAATTCAAAAACACACTGATATGGTGTTTTACTAATTTAGTTTTTGAATAGTTTTTCTTCTTAGTTTTAAGTTCATTTTCTTAAAACGATTTCTTTTCTTTTTATCTTAAGTTGCTGATTATTTTTTCTCTTTTTGTTAAAGTAACATTGTTATTTAAATTCTTAACATATTCCACAACTAAATGAACAAAAGTTATTATTATTTGTTTGTTTTTTTTTTTTCTCTCTTACAACAAAATAAACAAGTAGAAAGAAATGAAATTTGCATTAAGATTAACATTAACAAAAAATTTTTTTTCAACACATTTCTTTTCCAATTTACTCAGAAAATATAATAAAGATGTGTTGTTAAAATTGGGTAGGGGCAAAAGTCGATTTCTAAGAAAGGATAATACCGAGTTACGCCCATTAACAATTAACGTTTAACTAAAAGTTAGCACTAACCAAATGTCTTAATATTGAAAATTTTCCATGAAACATGGACAATATGTCAGCTATGTTTTCTTCATGGTTAAATAAACCAAAAAAACCACAGGGTGGCATTTTGTCACCTTTAGTCTGGGTTACCATGATTAATAGCCTCCTAACCGAGAAAGAACTTAGACCTATCTGCTATGCAGACGATGTCATTACACTTTTAAAGGGAAAGGATCCAAATTACATGTGTGGAAGAACTAAGAATCTGAGAGGCCTCAATGTTAACCCGGCGAAGATGGAAATCTGTCTTTTCACAAGAAATGCAAAAATTTCTACGTTTACTGGACCGGTGACTGACAAAATTAAGTACTTAGGTGTAATTCTTGACTAAAAATTAAAATGGAGACACCACATAGAGAATAACATCAACTAAACACATCGGTGCTGGGCGATATGTAGGAGAACTATAGGCATGAAATGGGGCCTTAGTCCTACAATGACAAATTGGCTTTATAAAAGTGTAATTAGACCATTTTTTGCTAATGCTTTTATAATCTGGTGGACTGCTTTGGACAAAAAGTGTAATATCATACTACAGGTAGTTCAGCGTAACTGGTGCTACCAACCAAGGCTGTGGAAACGTTGCTAGTTATTCCAACCATTGAAACATATTTATGATATGAGGCGACGCTTACAGCTGAACGGCTCTTTACTTTAGGCGAACTGGCCAAACTGGACATTAGAAGTTTATACACAACCTTCGTACGTGCCTGATCGCATACCAGGCACAGAATATGTCGGAAGCTTAGAAACGCTGATCCCAGATAGAATGTCTTGATCAAGCGGAACATTAGAGCAAATACCAGTATTAATCTGTTTCTTCACGGATAGATCTAAATTGGGGGACAAAATAAGCAAAAGCTTTAACTGAATATTCTCCCAGAGGTAAGTTTTACATCACATGGGTACTAAGCCACTCGAGAGTAGTCGTCATCGAAAGGGCGTATGTAATAGCTTTAAATGGAAGGGATCTCAAGGTAGTTAACCTGACAAACGCAAAACCTTTCTGTGGTTAGTAAGATGGTACGTATTCTGAGTGGACACACAGGATTACGAGCACATCTATACAAAATTGGACGTGCGGATTCACAAGAATGTAGAGCCTGTGGAGAGGACAGTGAAATCTGGAGTACTTTCTTTGACACTGATGTTTTAAAGTTTAACGTTAATGGAACTTAGTTAAACATTAGATCTAAATTTTCTTTAAAGAAATCGACTTCATCCCTAAACTAATAAAATGTATAAATTCATGAATACCTTAACGTCTACATCAACATGTAGCAAGATGAGTATGAATTTGACTATGAACGTGAGACAGTGGGTGTGTGTAGGAAACTGTAAGAAATTATATGCGTGTCTGTATATGTTAATGTTTTCTCAACCAAGCACGTTGCATTAATATATAATTTTGTGAAGTTTTCTTATTTACATATAAACATACATTCTGTTAAATATAAAAAAACAAGAATATATGCAGATAACCCCAAGAAACACACACACGCATACCTGTTAGTTCAAATACAAAGTCAGAAATACTTTAGTGAAAAAAACACGAAAATTTAGATAAAAATAAATGAAGAAATGCAAAAGTCAAAAAACCTTAAATGCCTAACTTACTAACTGACACAATTTACATTGTCTGCTGTAACTTTTTTTCGTTCTCGTTTTTTTTTCTAAAAGGTAGTTATAAATAAAAAATCTTACCCAACAACACCCACACGTTTATGTAAAAAAACGTATGTCTGTCTATTAGTTGTGTTACAGACTTAAATTTACTTTCAGTTTTTTTACTTACATAATGCATACATACAAGTACTGAGAAAAAAAAATGAATAAAGAAACATGAGCACACATTTATTTTGAAAATCATCACGTTTCATGTTAAAACTTTTTTCTCTGCTGTTTCTTTTTGTCTTCCATCTGGTATAAAAACAAAAGTGTTCCGTATCCTGTGGCCAAGGCATACAGATGCGTGGCGTTGAATGTAAATCACCCGATGGCAGACTGAGCGCCAAATGTGATCCTCTAACAAAACCCTCCAGTGTACAACAATGTACCACAGGCATTTCATGTGATGGTGGCTCCATGAGTGGCGGCACCATTATTGTGGGTAGCAGTGGCCCACGGGTAAGTTTAAACCAAAACAGTAACTGTAACATTATTAAGTTTAAGGTGGGTTTGCAGCAGCAAAAAAGAAACAACAAACGAACAAATGTCATTTGTTAAGCTTCAAAATTAATAAACATCCTTAAGGAAATTATTTATTGTTTAGGAAAGTGTATGTGTTGGATGCTATTGAAACACAAAATGACATAAAATAAATAAGAAATATTGTTTAAGTGTCTTAAAGTATAATTTATTTTAATTTTCTTTTTTTAGTTCTGCTAATAAATTTTGTTGAAAATTTTTTTTTCTTAAAGAATCCCATGGAGGATGATGATGACATGGACGATGATGAAGAGGATGATGATGAAGATTCTGATGATATGGATGATGAGAATATATCATCAGATGATGCTTCCTATAATGATCAACCTTCCATGTATTCCCATCACACTGTTAGTCGTTTACATCAAGAAGAATCAGATGGTCCCAGGACAATGCGTTTAACTTCGGGTGGTTATTCGAGAGATCATGAGCCTTCAGAACCAAGGTAAGTACAAAATTTAATATAAAATTGAAATTTTAGTATAAAGGGAAGTAGGAAACACTTGCAAAAAACACCCTTAATTAATTTTGAAAAAGGACACATGAATTAAAACTAATTTAAAAGCTTTACACTATATTTTAAATAAATCATTTATTTAATTCAATTAAGACCTTTACAAAACCGCTTTTACAAAGGATTTATTGAGAACTTGTATAAAAAAAACTTTTACTTTTCTTACATTTATTTGCAAATATAATTAAACTTACATCCTTACACCGACTTCATTTTCAATTAATTAATTACATTGGCCATTTTCAACATTTACGCAAATCTCTTGTTTTTGAGCCTTCACCAAAGAATAAGGACAAGAATAATTGTTACATTTGAAATATAACCTTAACAAACTACAAGAAAAATATAAATAAAAATACATTTAAATAAAGGTCAATTATGGTAGCTTTAATTTTGGTTCATTATTTTTGTGTTTCTATTTTTTTTTTTTTTTTTTCTAAAAGTAAATTACCCCCTACTGTTTGACAAACAAATTGATATCATTAAACCGAAAATTAAGTAAAAACAAATGTTAAAGGACTCTAACAATCAAACAGGAAAAAAATTAAAACATGAATCTAGTATAAACTTAAATGTCACCTTGTGAGTACTTACAAGGCAAATAACAGCTTAAAAGGGACTAAATTGAAATATTAAATAGAGAAAGTGTTTCCTAGACATAATTAGGACAAGACAAAAAACACCTTAAATACTCTAGAAATACGCATATTACGACTAACTGACTGACTAGCTGTATCACTGATAATATAGTAATAGCATAGGGGGCAGTCGAAAAAGTATTTATAATTTATAAAGTGGTAATCTTAGTATCAAATGGAAAATGAAAATTGGTGTGATAGTGTAATTTCAGCTTTAGTTCTTTAAGATATCTAGGGTCCTTATCAGACATTTAATTTCTTATATCGACTTCGCTATATAATTTCATTTTGTTGTTCGACTGTGGCCGATAGTTCATTCCTGGGGAAAAAACTTTACGTTAATACAGCTGTCATTGGGTTGACAATCTTTGGCCGAGTAAGAATCGGGTAGTTCCGGAGCGAAGATCCAATTGTCGTGAGAACGTTTCATTTTGTTAATACCAACAGCGTATGTTTGGTAGCCAAATCTATGATTTGAGTCTTAACAGTCCAAATTATCATACACCGATTTGGTTTAATTTCATTTGCACAATTCTCGAATGAATGTTCGATAGAATGATCCAAGATTTGGATCCACAAAATATCTGGAACCTTCAGCAATTTAATTTAACTAGCAATAAAGAATACAACAAAATCGACTACTCTTAGGACAGGCCCATATCGATTAAATTAAATAATATGCTTTATATTTATATAATTTATGAGATACCATATAAAAATAAAAATTCAAAACTTTAGGGCTTGACCCTAAATCACACGATTGATAATGTTTTTTGAATATAAAAATTTGAATAAAACTTCGTTACTAATTAAAAAACAATATATAGTTCGCGACTTCCACATTCTAAAAGAACTTTACCACTACACCTCGTCTAGATAAATTGATGAAGTTATTGTTGTTGTTATTGTAGTAGTGTTAGTAACTATGAGAGGTATAACAAGAGGCAAATAAGTGCTGTTAATGGATTTAATTGCTTGTAATTTTAGTGGCATTGTTGATGTTGTTCAGATTGTAGCTCTTGATGACGATGACGATGGTGATGATGTTGACGGTGACGACTACGATGATGATGAGTAGGCTTGATAAGCTTTATTATTACTCACCCTCTTCCTCAAGAGTCACTCATTGACTGACTACTTATACATTTGTGTATAGGGGGCGAGCAGGGGGAGGGGGTTCTTAAAATGTTTGTACAGCTATTTATCAAGATTGTGTAGTAACAAGGATTTCTTTAGTTGCTTTTTTTCTACATTTTTGATTCATTCATTGTGTTTTGTTTTGGCTACCACTTAATTAGTGCAGGAAACAATTTTGTGTAGAAATTTCTTTGTGTTTTTTTTTTTCATTATTTCCATTATTTCATTCTTTCCTGTTCTTTTTTTTTTTTTTGTCTTAACATCGTGCTGTGTAATTTCCTTGTGCATTTAGTAGGATGAATTTTCATGATTTAACAATTCTATTAGTAAATATTAGAAACACAAGGACTTTTGCGACTAATAAAAGGCATAAAATATAAGTAACAACAAAAGTAACAAAAAAAGCAGGAAGAGGAACAAACAAAAAAGCAACTCAAATACAGTTAATTGGTAAATTGAAAATGCGGACAAAAAACACACAGACATTCAAACACTTTAGGACAAATGAACAACAAATACAAATAATTATTTATACTTGTCGCTAAATGATTAAGTGCTCGAGCAGAGGGTGTACAAGGGTGCGTATACTTAATTTGAACCCACTTTATCAAAAACCATACATTAACAATTTTTTTGTTCTATTCTTCGCTTGGTTGCATTATGAACATTTGAAAACCTCAACATTAGTACTTGTGTGGTGATTTTAATTATACCATCAAGCATTCTCAATTGAGAATTTCACTATTTATACAGGGTGATGGAATAATTTAACTCTATCCACCCTTTATCGCCAACAACCTGCTATTCTTATAACATTAAAATCAATTCCAAATTTTGTTGAAAGTGGTTGAGGGAGAAAGAATTTTGTTATGAACCTAAATTAGTTTATATTTGGTTACTTTTACTCATTTTCTATTGTTTCATATATATAAATGTTTTGGTCAGTTGTTGGCGTCAGTGACAATTTATTATTTATCATGGTCATGGCAAAATGAAATATACGACCTGTGTTTCTGTCTGTATTTTTTAATTGGTATGAGAAGTTTGATTATGTGTATTTGAATTTTGTGGCAGTCTAAAAGTCATGCAGAAATAAAATTTTCCAAAATTTTTTTCTTTGTCAATTTGCCTTTAGGTAATTTTTCTTTTTTTATTCTCTTTTGCTATTATTTTGTGGTATGGTTTAGTTTGGCGACATTGGTATACTAGTTTAGTTTAATATTTTTATTATTATCGATTACTAATAAAGTTTTCTATAGCTGCCACAAACTGACAAAAAAACATTTTTTTTGCAGACTTTATGGTTGATACCCTATAATAGAGAAATAAAGGTTTCAATGTTTGGTTTTGCTTCAGTTAATCCATAATTAATTACAGATTTAGAAAACCTGATTAACTAATTCCTTCTTTACTCATTTAGTGACCTAATTTTTCCCATTCTCGAAAATTAAAAACCTTCAGATATTCGGGATCTCATTTGATTTTGAACAGAACTATAATGATAATCGTGATTAGTAATTTTTTAACAGTAAAATATCTGGGGTACACGGAAAATTCATCTTTGGTTTAGACTTTAGTCTGAACTGTAGTATAATCTATAGTCTAAGCTGCAGTATAGTCTATAGTAAAAACTATAGTCTGATCTATATTCAAGACTATAACCTAGTCTATAGTCAAGACTATAGCTTAGTCTATAGTAAAGACTATAGTCTGACCTATAGTCAAGACTATAGTTTAGTCTATACTCAAGACTATACTCTAGTCTATAGTCATAACTATAGTCTAGTCTATAGTCAATACTAAAGTCTAGTCTATAGTGAAGACTATAGTTTAGTCTATGGTCAAGGCTATAGTATATAGTCTATAGTCAAAAGTATAGTATAGTCTAGTCCATAGTCAAGACTATAATCTATAGCCTAGTCTATGATCAAGTCTATAGTAAAAACTATAGTCTAGTTTATCATCAAGACTGTAGTCTAGTCTATAGTCATGTCTATAGTAACGACTACAGTTTAAATTATAGTCAAGACTAAAGTATAGTGGTACATAACATTCGTTTACTACTTAACCACTTTAAACTAAATCATCACTCTCTTTTAAGTTTCAAATTATTCTTCTAAGAGGATAATGGCCCGCAATTGTGGAAAAACAATTTCTCACAAGTTTGCCTTAAGAGATTTTATTGTGCGCAAACCAAAAAAAAAATTAAAAAAGAAAACTTTATCAATGCGATAAAATAATTTTTTTAATAACTTTATAGGACTTTTTATACATACAATTATTATTTTTATACAGCATCTCTTGTCTAGGCCAGAAAAGAACAAACATTTTATACAAGAGACTAGGATTCCCTGTAATCTAAGTGTAAGTTTATTTTTTTATTTGCTCGTAGGCCAACATTATTTTCATCTTTATTTTCTTTATATAATTTCTTGTGTAAACAAAAAAATAAAAGCCATGAATTGTATGTATTTGGCCAAAAAGAATATTTGATAGTCTTGTGCCAAAACGGATGTTAAAATGTCGCCATTGAGACGCGCCAGTAAGGCGTCTGGGAGATAAGGCCGCTTTATATTATAAAGAAATAGTTTTTTTATTCTTTAGTTGCTTTGCAAATCATTTAAGTTTTCCAGCTGTGTTTCCTTAGCCAAGAAAGGCATTTAAACAAAGATATTATGGAAGGAAACTTTTAAAACTGACAATATGAAGAAATCAATTCGGCATGAAAATAATATTTAATAATAACAATAATAAGGGGGAAACGATGGAATATATACACAAATTACTTAAATAATACATAATGATTTCAGGCATAATTTTTCCTATTTAAATATAAACTAAATTTAACTTTAAGTGATAAAAACTGCAAAATGAATTTGTATCCAAACAAATTATTTAAAAATTTGTTTATTTCCCCCTCGTGTTATAAATATTAATGACAATTTGTTTGTTTTTCTTTATTTACAGTTATATTAAAGATCTTGATTGGTCACCCTGCAGTGTGACTTGTGGTGAGGGCATTCGTAGACGTACTCACAAATGTAAAATATTTCTTGAATACTCACGCACTTTGGCCACTGTTAATGATACCTTATGCGAAGGCATTAAGCCACACGATGAGGTAGAACGTTGCGTGGAGGAACCCTGCATGCTGCCATCTCATGGTTATGAAGACCAATACCCACGTGATTCTATTAAAGTGGGTGTCTCGGAACCAGGCAAAACATATGTATGGCGTGAACAAGGCTACACCTCCTGCAGTGCCAGTTGTTTGGGTGGTGTGGAGGAGCTCATCATTAATTGTGTGCGTGAGGATAATGGTCGTGTAGTTTCACCATTTTTGTGTGCACCCGAAACAAAACCGGAAGCTCGTGTGCGTACCTGTAATGATAGACCATGTCCTCCTCGTTGGAATTATTCTGATTATACCCCCTGTTCGAAGTCTTGTGGTATTGGTATTAAAACCAGAGAAGTGCAATGTATTCATGAGGTAACCAGGGGTGGAGAGAACACCATGGTGGTGCCTAATAGCATGTGTCCCCAGCCACCACCAGCAGATCGTCAGTATTGTAATGTTTTGGATTGTCCAGTACGCTGGGAAGTAGGCGAATGGTCTAAATGTTCACATACCTGCGGTTATGGCTTCAAAGAACGTAAGGTAGAATGCAAGCAAATAATGGCTCAGGAGCACAAAATCGAAAGACCAGAATCCATGTGTCCCAGTGCCAAACCACCAGATAAGAAACCCTGCAATGTTAAGCCCTGTCCACCCGAAGATCCCAAGCCTGTCATACAAATTAGCAATACAACTCATATACAACATGATCCTAAAAAATCTAAAATCACTTTAAAAGTTGGTGGTGCTGGGGTGGTGTTCTTTGGTACTCAAGTGAAGATTAAGTGTCCTGTCAAACGTTATAATCGTACTAAGATAAAGTGGAGTAAAGATCATAAACCTTTGGCTAAGTCTAGGAAATTTAAGGTATCCAAAAAGGGAGCTTTACGTATTCTAGATATAACTTTCCGTGATGCGGGTATTTATTCATGTCATGCTGGCCTGAGTAGTGCCGAAATAACGATAGATGTCAAAGCTAAACCAGGTCAAAAGCAGGAGGAATTGGAAAGGCATGAATCTGGTAAGTAGGGATATGATTAAATGATATGTAGATCTGGGCAATTAGCTCTCTGTCGAGATATATTTGTGTTTTAAACATGTGTGAGTTTAGGAATGTATGAAAGCAAGAAAGCTCTTAATAGAGCTTTCTGCAAATACTTATCTAGAACAAAGAGTAACAAATGTATGCGTGAGAACAAGATCTTCGACTAGATTTGTTTGTCTTTTAAGCAATTGTAAGCTTACGTACATATGTATGAAAGCAAAAAAGCTCATGATAGAGCTTTCGGCCAAATAATGATCTAGGACAAAGAGTAACGAATGCATGCGTGAGAGCAATTTCTCTGACTACATTTGTTTGCTTTTTAAGTATGGCAGAGCTTACATGTTTATGAAAGAAAGAAAGCTCATGATAGATATTTCTGCCAATTATTTATCAAGAACAAAGAATTTAGATTTGTTTGCTTTTTAAGTATGGGTGAGCTTACATATGTATAAGTAACAAATTAATGCGTGAGAGCAAAAAAACTCTTTGTCGATACTAGTTCTAGATCACAATAGAACATCAATTACTTAAAGTAAATATGATTTTTATTATTTCCAGATCGTTTAGTAAGAGAAAGAAGTGGCACGGAACCGCTAACGGCAGCAGATATGACAGCAACGGATAACAGGTTAGTATAACTTGGTAAAGATGAGAACGTAAGCGTAAGTTATCGCTTATAGGATGTTAAGCCTCTTTAATTTTTACTTTACTTGAGTGTCCGGAAAATGTTTTTATTTCAGTTTCTCTGACTGAACTGACTGTTGAAATCTAATAAGTCTCAACAAATAACGTAATTGTTCCATTCAAGAAATATAAACATTATTACAACTATTTACTTACTTTTTTTGGTTCAGAGATAGAAAATATTTTAAAATATAATATTTAATTTTTGTTTTTAATCCCAAGTTATGCGTAATAACAGTTTAAGAATTTATACAAACATTCTCTGTATACGTACCTATTTAGAATATGAATTCCAAAATGCATTCAAGTTTCAACAACCAAATTATATGAAGGAAAAAAACTACAATCATTGTATAAAATGACAAAACATACTTATTATAAACTTTGAAAAGAATTTTAAATCTATTTACGTAATATAATAAAATACAAGATAATGGAGACGAGTCTAAAGAAAGTATGAAATTTTAATAAGTTGTCAGACGAAATTTTAACAAAATAGAAAAGTAACAAAATTTGATTTAAACAAGTGAATAATTAAGAAATAAAGTAATTTCTAGTGGTCGATTTCAAAAACAAATTTAATTATTCAAAGTTTTCAAGTTGACAAGTATATATTATGATCATAGTAAAATTTTCAATATACTCATAAAGATTTGACTGATGGTATTTTCGGATAGTTTTTCATATAAAAATCAGTTTTAGAAAAACAATATTAATAATATTAATAATCTTGATCATAGGTTGGAAAAGATTTGATAATGAAGTTAAAACGTACAAACTGTGTGATGTTGAGTATTGAAAGCATATATCTACATATATACGCCTTACACACTTATGTATATCTAGTGACGCAATAATCCGTATTGCGTCTTCTTATTGGGTAAATGTTTGTTACAGATTTTTTTTAATTGCATAATAACTATATTGTTCTAAATTCAAAATTGTTAGTTTTTATTTAAACTTTATTGTTCTAATATTTTATTCAAAAATCTCTAACTAAATATACACGACATTTTTTAAACCCCTTAAATGCTTGCATACGCAACAGTATTTAACAATAAAGACATTTAATTTTATTAAACTCAACTACTAAAGTAAAATATTTTTTTTTGAAAAGTTTTTTTTTCATTAAACATTAGATCTGCCCTTAATATCCGATTTGTATACATTTTTGTTTTTCAGTATATAAAGAAATGCAAATTTTAAAGCCTTTTGAAACAGGAATCAGTTCTAATATGTTAAAGACCCATGTTTCATCCTCTAACTTGCACTCTATTATAATTATTGGCCCAAATCTCTATTCTAAGGATCCTCTGAAATAATGTAATGATTTCAATCCAGATTCGTTTGATTGGGGCAAATCTAATACATGATCCAAATTTCATCGAGTTATCTAAAAAATTGTGATTTTTTTTCATTTTTGGAAAATTCACATGGTTAGGCATACAGACGGGCGACTTAGAATAATCGCTGTCGATATTATTGTTGTTGAAACTATTCTATTTTTATTAAAAGTTGTTTTGCTGTTGTTCTTTCCCCGATTGGAAATTGAGTTGATTCAGAGTAATGATCCGATTATCGTTGCAATGTGTTATTTTGTAATCAAATTCAAATCCAACATTCCATTAAACGTAGTAATCGTCGTAAAATGAAATAAAGTAAAGGTAAATCTAAAGTTTAGGGTCCCATAAAAGGGACCTTCACATGTTTTACAAATAACTATAAAGCCATTTTCAAACAAATTCTAGTCGAGTTCTGTCATCAATGTGCAGGTTTAGTGTAAATAAAACTTTGTTGAGATTTATTTTATTTCTTAAAAAAAAAAAAAATCTAAAATAAGTTTCACATATTTCTAGTTGCACTTTTCATTTGACTTGCTGAAAGAAAAAAAAACAATTATTTTCATTTTACCTTGATAAATGAATAAACAAGTCTTTATATGTGAATGACTAAATTGATGAAGAAAAAATAGAAAACATACTACTAGTTCTTGCATATATATTTGTGTGTAAATGACCACTTTATAACCAATGATTTAACAGACAATATAACAACATCACTTGACCACATTTATTTTACTTCGGGGCAACTGTAAGCGTAAGGACTGTAAGGATGTAATATGTACGACTGCACATCCTTACATCCTTGGATTGTTTTTATTATACTAAGTTAAATCTGTTTACAAACCTGGTTTTTTATAAGAGATTTTATTATGTATTACAATTTCAGTTCTAGAGTTTTCGCCACAAAATAAAAATTGAACGATATTTTAGAATTCAAAGAAAACCTAAGCCTATTTCTTCCTATTTACAATGATTTTTCAACTCTTTCCTTGAAAGCGCTTATTTAGTTAAAATGCGTTAAGGAACCAATACTTTAGCATTTAAAACCCTTATCTAGTAATGCAAGTTTTCACTGGGTTATTTCTACTAAATCTTGTGTGTGTTGTTATTTATTTAGCTTAAATCTCATTTCGTTTTACGTTGCTTTTTTGTCCTCCATTGCAGCACACAAACCACACGTCGTAAACAACAACAAAATGCCAGAGAACGTAGCCGTCGTCCAAAGTCAGATGTTGTGCAACAGCATGCGGATAGCAGTATAATGGGCGATGAGGTAAGTCAGTTGTGATACAATACACATTACATAAAAATTTCTAATAACGTATGTATAGCAAAAGTAAAGGATAAAATCTTTATTTGAGAACTTTGATATGTGTAAAACATTGTCATGTGAATCTGTTGATATTATTTTCTGTTCAACAACTTGTAAATGATGAGGATCATCATGATGATTGTGATAACTATATTTAGATGCTGATATATTTATTCTTTGTGTATTTTTATTTGGAAAACAATTTCTGGTCTACTATTTGCTGTACCAACAAATTTCTACTCAAGTACTGTTGTCGTCAAACAAGTTGGAAAAATATTTAAAAATTCTGTATGAAGTATTTTGTTAAATGTGTTTCTTTTGTTTTTTTATGCGCTTTTATTTGAAAATATTAGATTTTGATTTCTTCTAATACATTCTAAATTTCGTGTGTGGTAGTATTTTACCAAAAATATTTCTTTTTGTTTTTCTCATTTATACTGCACGTAATGCACACAATTGAGAAAAAATCTTTTTTTTTTTTTTTTGGTTTCCTTTTTGCCAAAAATTTAATATGAGAAGATTTTTTGAATGACAAAAAAACTAACTGTATGATAACTGCTTTAGTTGTGTAAGAAGGACACACAACAGAATAGAAATGATTCGTATCTCATCAAAATGTAGTCATACAGACTCGTCCTAAATACATAAACATGCATAATAGTTTTTTTTTTTTTGGTTTGCTCATTTCAGAGATGGAACATGTTGCTACAAATATACTTTATTTGGTACATCCTTTACAAACAAAATTTTAAATTTGGTTTAACCATAAATTTAGATTGATAAAGGAGCTATATTTTAGATACCATTATAAAAGAGAAAGTTCTATTTGTACATGTGAATGGTTTATAAAAGAAAAAGTACCATTCTTATATGTGAATGGTTTAGTTTTAAAACTTCATTTGCCATCTCTGTGAAGCATATAAAAACCATTTTTAGTGTAATTTTCCACAAAATTAACATTGTTATCTCTTCTCTATACACTTTTTTCTTTTTCCGTTTTTTTTTCTGTATTTTCCTTAAAATTTATTCAAAATTGCTTATTACACATAATTCTATTAAATTTTACAAATTGTGTTTGTAACTCTTGAGTAGTTTCTAAAAAAATGATATTATTTTTAAAACAAGTAACTTGCAGATAATTTGAAATTATAAAATTGAAAATAATTTGTTCATAATGTTTTTTTGTTCTAAATTATTCAATGACATATTTTGAAAAAATATATTTAAATTTTCCAGCTTTAAACTAAACTTTATTATCTCTGGCTGAACTGAAACTTTAATACAATTTTCCATACTCTAATTTTACTTATAAAAGTACTCTTTTCATTAACTTTAAAAATAAAAGCTGCCATAACAAAAAACCTTTATAAACTGTAGGCAATAAAAAGTTTTCTAAAGTAACTATTGTTTAGTTTGGTTTTTAATTACTAGACCATGTCTTAAAATTGTCCACAATTGTGTGCTAACTTTTTCCGCAAGAAAAAAAAAACTTTGGGCGTGATGTGAAAATTGCTCTTTATGGTTGAGGAAATTGTAACAACAGTGTAAATCTGTGAACAATACAAAGCATACTATATTAACCCTTTTCAGTCAGTAATTAAAAGTGAAAATTGCTTTAGACTGTACAATAATAGGATTTATTAAATTACATATTAAAATATTTAATTATTAAATTATTCCCCAAATTTTCTTAATTTCAAAATCTTAAAAGTTTCTAAAATTCTCAAACAGTTTTATTAGCAAATAAAGTATTTTCCAGTTTTAGGTTTCAAATAAATATATCAAACTTCTTAGTAAAACACAGTTAAAAGTAAAACATAGCTTGATTTTGTATGATTTCCGTTCTTAATTTGTTTCTTGGTCATATCTTTAATTTATTTTAAATGTTACTGCCAATGGTGCGTATACTTAATATTTAATAAAAACATTGAAGAGATATACATCATACGCCCCGAATATATGAAACTAACTGACTGTTTCACAACGAAAGAACAGAATTACTACAAATGAACTCTAGTTTCATATATAGACTTTTCTATGTGTGAAAATTGTTACAGAGATAATTTTTGTTAAAATTTACTGTTAATGGTGCGTATACTTAATGTTAAATAAAAAGCAATGAATATGTATTAATCATACGCCACGAACGTATGACACAAAATGTAATTCCTTTGATATCAAGCATCAGAAATGGAAGGTATGGTATTAGAATACACTTGTTCATAGACATGCCTATAGTCTATAAACTAGTCCATAGACTAGTCCATGGACCTGTCAATAGACTCTTCTATAGGCCAGTAAAAGACTAGTCCTTAAACTGTCTCATAAAGCAGAACTTAAGCCATGCAATGGAATTGTACATTAACTACTACTCAATCGACTAGTCTGTCAGCAATCCATATACTACTCTTACAAGAAAATTAAAGAGATACTAAACTAAAAAGGATACTGAAATAGTATGTTTTTTATACCCTTCACCTTAGTAAGTTTGTCATTCCGTTTGTAATTTCCACAATATTATTTTCCGATCCCATAAAGTATATATATTCTGGATCCTTATAGATAGCAGAGTCGATTAACCATGTCCATCCGTCTGTCTGTCTGTCCGTCTGTGTGTCTGTTGAAATCAGTTTTCTGAAGACATCAGGTATCTCCGTGATGCAAAACTTCAATAATTCTGTCAGACATGCTTTCGAGAAGTTTCTTATTTAAAATCAGCAAAATCCGTCCATAAATAACGTAGATACAAGCAAAAATCCGAGACAGCAACTGAAAATTTCATCAAAAAAAGAGAATATTTTGCATGTAGAAACAAGATAACAACAACAACCGAAGTTTGTGCTGGATTGTATGTACGTTGTTGTCGCTTGTTAACGATTGAAACAAAAACAACGTTTAGCATGTTTTTGTTGTTTATCACAATGTTTAAAAAAACTACGTTAAAGAGTATATAAGATTCGGCATAGCCGAATATAGCATTCTTATTTGTTGTTTTTCTACTTCTTTGAACTTTAAAGTATCTAAAACTCAGCACCTCTCTCTCATTGAAAATATATTTGTCATTAAAAATGTTATAAACCTTAAATTATTATTTTGTCAACTAAACCTTAAATAAAATAAATCCTTATAACTGCGAAATAATTTTTATTTCTAAACCTTTCTACGTTCTCTCCTCTTTAGCTCTTTGCTATAAAAGGGAGCTGTTCACTTTTATTAGCAAGTGGTGAAATTTGTTTGGCATAAAGAGTATATAAGATTCGGCATAGCCGAATATAGCATTCTTATTTGTTGTTTTTCTACTTCTTTGAACTTTAAAGTATCTAAAACTCAGCCCCTCTCTCTCATTGAAAATATATTTGTCATTAAAAATGTTATAAACCTTAAATTATTATTTTGTCAACTAAACCTTAAATAAAATAAATCCTTATAACTGCGAAATAATTTTTATTTCTAAACCTTTCTACGTTCTCTCCTCTTTAGCTCTTTGCTATAAAAGGGAGCTGTTCACTTTTATTAGCAAGTGGTGAAATTTGTTTGGCATTTTTAAACTATTGTTGGTTTTTCTAGCTATTTTTTTTTTCTATTTTGATTTAGTCTAAAACCCAAACATTTAGCTAACAAGTGTATAGCAATACATTGTAGATTTTCCTTTTACCAAGCAACTCTCAATTAAAGTTAAAGTGGAAAACTTTGTGGTTTATCATTTATCTCTTTCAATTGAACTCTCTCTCCCTCTTCCTCGTTTAATTTTGTTTTGTTTTTGCTTGCAACACTAGCAGATACTTGTATTAAGTTGTTTATGAATAAAAATCCATTTAAAAATCGTTTAAGCAAACTCTTAAAACTATATAAATTTTTTTTGTATTATTGTACTATGCTGTTATATGTATTTTTTATTATTAAAGTGTAAAACAAAGTAAAAAAAACTTTAGTTGAAAAACATAAGTGCTAAAAATGAATAATATTGCAGCCATAACATAAATGTTTTAACAAGTATTTTTTGGTTTATAGTTTTCTAACAAAAGGTGTTAAGAAAAATTTTTAAAACAATTAAATAAAATTAAAAGAAGTTATTTAATTTAAGCATAAATAATTCTAAGCAGTAGATAAAAAGCTAAAACCTAAAATCCCAAAAATTTTACTTACCCCCAATACTTGTTTTAATTTGGTATATTTTTTAAGCTATAACCTTTTTATTGCTCTTATTGTACTGTATACATAATAAGTAAAATGTAAAAAAATTGTTGTCTTTTTTCTTCTTCTTTTCTATCTCTCCCCGTCATTTGGTATTTCCTTTTTTGTTGTTTTTTTTTTTTGTGTTCCCGTTTCCTCGTTTAGCATTCACATTTAGTGCAGCAGGCCCAGGATGGTTTGCCACAGCCTAGTGCTAGTAGTGGTAGCAGCCGCACCAATACATTGTTGGCCATGCCATATTTTCAGGCTTTACTCAGTAACCTACAGGTGAGGTATTCTCCTATTAATAGCGTGTTAAATAGTCTTATGTTAATTTATTTCTATGTTTTGTTTTCGTCGTTTTTTTTTTTTTTCTTTTGTTACGACTTTGGTTGGTTTTTGATGTTTAAACTGAATGGAGTCAGTGGCGTTTTTAGTTTTGTATACATATTTGAGTGTTTTTTTTTTTTTTTTTGTTGCCTGTTTTGTTTTGTTTTGTTTTAATTTGCAGCAGCCTTTTCTTTGGGGAGTTGTTGTTGATGTTAATTTTTTTATTACCATTGCTGCTGCAACAGTTTTTTGTTGAATGTATAATTTTTTAAATAAATTAAGTTGAAGGAAAAAGTAATTTCGTATTTTAATTGGTTATTCTATATAGCAGAATAGAGGCTAATTTAAACTAGAGATTGACAAAGATATTTTTTGAATGACAGATGTCATCAGTAATTTTCTGATGGAAATCAAAGTTACATAAAGATTTGGTTAGGTTGTTACAGGTAGCCAAATCCGGCTTTACTTGAGTCCAAGTTGATCCCTTTGTAAAAATACCTTGAAGAAGAAAAAGAAAAATAGAAAAAAGTATAAAAGAGAGAATATAGAAGAAGAGTAAGAAAATTAAAATGGTCCAGGAGAAGAGCCAGGCAAGATTGCACTGCAAGTTACAACTGTGACTGAAGGATTACATCCTACTTAGTGGGAATTCAAAATGCACACCCAATCTGATAAATTAATGAACGCAATAAGGCGTTTCAATGGAATATTCGAAAAATTGGAATAGATCGCCAACGCAAGCCGACCCAAGCTTCCGAATACGGAACTCAGCCAAGGCAGGATAATTACAGAGATTCTGACAACTCCTACAGAAGTGATTGAAAGGACACCAATGCGTCTACAATGAACAGTAACACCTTATACCAGCTAACCTAGTTGTAATCTATGAAGATCAATAAGAAAGTTAGACCTGCATGGATCCATATGGGGCCACAGCACTCTAGCTATCATGCAAGTGTGCTCACGCGATCAACGGTCATAAACAATAGAGTAGCAGTACTCGTTAATCTGCGTTTTCAATGCAAGAAGTGGAACGCCACAGAGCTGATCTATTTCCAATTCGCTAAGCGAGGTTCCAGCTTGTGCCATAGTGTCAGTAACATTGTTGCTCCTGTGTCCCCTGACCTAAATTAGGGTGATGTTCGAATGTCTCGCCATCTTGTTGAGAGCCATATTCATTTAATAGCAGCTTGACTATCGGTATAAGTTCTGATATCCCTTTTAGATATGCCTAAGGTACTATCAGCCAATTCGACGCCCTCTTTATCGCTGATACTTCAGCTTGAAGGATATTACAGTCATCATTGAGAAGGAAAGAGATTTTACCGCCAACTCCCTTTGTCGTCTTGGATCTTTGATATACACACGGAAATAATTGTTTGACGGAAGGATGCTTTCTTGAGACTCAGTAAATATATAATATCGGATTTTTCTCTTTACAAACGGTTCCAGGATACTATTGTACTGATGACGGTAGAAGATCCATGATCTTCGCATGACCTATGGCACAGTTATTCCACTTGCCTGTTAGATCCAATCTGGCCGCAGTGGACATAGCCAGTTGTTTGGCTAGTAGGTCAACTGGAAGCCAGTCGAGCATAGTAAACAACGCCTTTGATGGTATTGTTCTAAGAACAACGGTAATGAGAAGCGCAGAAGATCTTATGACCTTTTCAATGTGTTCCCTGAGTTACGCTTTTTCAAGCGCATGCCAACAGATAACTATCCCATACATCATTATTGTTTTAGTAACAGCATCAAAGAGCCAGTAAGCATTATTCGGACTTAAAACCCAGAATGATCCTATGTCCTTTCTACAGACATAAAGCGCCGCAATGGCTTTAGATGCTCTAGAGAGCACATTTGTGCTCGAGGATAGCTTCTTGTTTAGTATAACGCCCAAGTATTTGGTGCTATGCGATAGCTTTAATTAATGTGGTTGTTGTTGTTGTTCCAGAAGCTATCGGAGTAATCAAGCCTGGTGCTAACACCTGACTATTCCAGAAATCTAGTCAGTTACTTTAGACTCTCAACTTTGACAAACTTTTTGTTTGTTGTCCAGAGTTCTAAGCAATATGAAATATGAAACTACTTTTTCCTCAACTAATATTTATATTTTTTTCTGTAGATTTTGTAACAAAAAAAAAATCATTCATTCATCTTTTAAAGGAAATATGAAAAAAGTTTAATTTTTTATTATTTTCTTTTTAAAAGTATAAAAGTTTTCTGTTAATTTTTTTCTCTCCACTTTTTTTATTATTGTTATGAGTTGTTTCTAATTTTATATTGTTTTAAAGTTGTGTTTTTTCTGTTGGCCTTTCATTTCTGTTGCACGTTTGCATTGTTATTATTACTATCACACTTTTCATTTTAGAACTCATTGTGTTATATTCCATTTCTGAAATAAACCAAGAAAATACAAGTTTTTGTTAGACCCCGCCAAACATTTGTTTAGTTTTTTTTTTTTGCATTTTCATAGTTTTTAACCTTTTTCTAAAGAATTTTTTTGTTTTTGTTCTTGGTTTGTAGCAAGTTTGTATTGTGGTTTTTACATTGTTTATTATTTGCTAGTCTATGTTACTTTTTTTCTTTTGTTTTCTTACTGGAACTACAACCTCTTCATCTACATATATATAGTATATGGGACCATCACCACCATTATTTCCTTATATATACATACTTCTTTCCAAGTATTCTTGTTAGTTTATTTTTGTTTTAGTAAAACATGTTGCTTTGCTTGTTTTATAAGTTTGTTTGTTTTGGTTCTTTTTGTTTTCTTGTGTTTTACATCCGTTTCCGTTTGGCAACAAAGGAAACTAGCTGCTATTTAGTTTAAACTCAATTTTATTTGTTCTTTTAGATAAAGTGATTTGTTATTTTTATCATATTCATCATTTATACAACATTTTTCAGTTTTTCATTTGTGATTTATTTTCTATGACATTTGTTTGATAATGAATTAAATTTACTGCTTAATTTTTTTGTAACAAACAAATTATTTAAAGCACTTTTATTAACATTTGTATTGTATTTTTTTCACACTTTTTTTTCAACAACAACACATAATTTAAAACTCATTTTATACAAAAAAAGTGTTTATCTAATCTCTATAATCTTTGTTTCCGCCTTTAAAAAAGGTGAGCTTTTTTGAAATATATGTTTACATTTATTAGTTGGCATTTGTCATAATTAGTTTTTTTAAAACAAATAATTACTATTTGTCTGTAAATGTTTGTTTTCAATTTATTGAAAATTATTTAATGTAAAATTTGCCACATAAAACCTGACATTTAAATTTATTTTTATAGCATAAATAACAAAATATTTGCAAAATCATATCATTTATTTGTTTAGTTAAAATTGATAAAGATTTTTCGTTCATTTATGAATTAATTTTCATAAAAATTTTTGCAACATAAACAAATAAAATGATTTGTGGTTTTTTTGTTTGAAAAAAGTTTAACATATACATACATATAAATAAATAGTTTATGAATTGGGTAATCAAATATTTTAATTAGCGTAAACAAATTTTTGACAACTAATAGTGATAAATAGTTTTGTTTGAAATACATACAAAACAAAATGTTTAAATTGTAATTAAATATGGACAATTAAATTTCAGAAATAATTGCTAAAAAAAACAAAGCAATAATCAAACATTTATTCGAACATAATTTAAATATTTATCCTTTCAATAAGTATATTTATTTACTATTTTTATAATAATTCAAAACTACTTATCCTGTAAAGGAGAGAGTAATATTTATTCACGTTTATACTAGCAGAGAATTAGCTTTCTCATTCTTAGTTGTAGTACTTACTCTCTTCCTGAAAAAAGGCATGATTTTTATATGAAGTGTGCTTATTTGGAAGCAGTTTTAAGTCCTTCAATAAATTGGTTTAATAATTACACAAAAACATATTGACTTTTTTTGCAAGAAACTAAAGTTTTTTAAGCTTATTGGGACATCTGAAAATACATTCATAAAACCTATTTAAATATCTATTAACCTTCCTTGTATATACTGTATTTTTCCAATTTTGCAAATGTTTTTCTGTGATATATTTAGAGTATTTTTTAAGAGTAGTAAAATACATATATCTCCACCTGGTATTTTAGCTTTCCCAAGTCCTTACCTTTCCAACAAACATCTTTCAAACACAAGTGCCAAAATATTCAACCACTCTACAGTCAAATCTATAGTTAGTTATTGTAAAAATGTTATGCATTTTTTATTTCTTTATGTTTCTTCTATTTTTTTCGTTTCCTTCCTGCAACAACAATTTTAAACTTCTTGTTCATTCACCGCCACTGGTTTACACCGCGTTTTTATATAACGACAACTTTAACTCTACTACAACAACTACTCCACTCTTAAACTCTCTATATATTCTACATAAAATACAAAACAAATCATTTCATCAAATTTTCACTAGGTAACAAAACAAATTTTATTTATTTTTCTACTTTTAGTTTCTTTAGAGAAAAAAAAACAAGCATTTTCGATGCAAAATAAATGGGATTTTAGTTGTTATTAAAATCGCAAGATTTAATAAATTAGTTTAGTTTAAATTTGATTTTTGCTATTGTGTTCTAGCACTAAACAACCCACCAACAAAATTTCATATATTTACACTAAAACATTACAACTTAATCTCAACACATTCGCCCAAATGTCTAAAAGCTAACTCTAATCGCTATAAACAATTGGTCAAATGCATGCCCCAAAAACAAAAAGGAATATAATATTCTTTAAACAAATTTTAAGCAAATTTTAGTAAATAACTAGAACATTTCATTATCTCTTTGTCTACCCTTTTCTTTAATATCTTTTTGTTTTTCTAAATGTACAGTTTACTAGTTTTAATTTAGTTATAATATTTACTACAAATACACTGGCTTTGTTTTATTACTATTATTTATTTACTAAATCATACAAAGCAAAAATTTATAT